TGCTGCCAGTGGTGCAGATGCAGAGGTCCCAGTGTGAGTCTCTGTACATTCATTGTGAAGATCAGCACTTGTCTAACAGGAGAACAGCAACAACAACACCAAAAGAAAGGTATGAAAACCAGTGGTAAAAACAGTCATATCCATACTCAATAACATAAACATGTATCCTTTACTCAGTGCATATTAATACATTCCTCATGTATCACATCACTTAGCAGACTAAATGATGGATGTTTAAATCCATTCATATTTCCATCTACTCTTTTTACATCAACTATAATTTTTGTATCAAAAGGCTTTGTGTTGGAACAAAATACTCCCACACTGAACATCTTACTTTATTCTAAGGCTTCACAATAAGCGTTTCAGGCTTACTGGTGAATCATAAAAACGCATCATTGTGTTGGGTCTAGAACATTTAAAATTACTGCCTGCTTCAAAATTACTCACAGGATTAGTACTACTGTTCTTCTCCCTCTTCAGCAAAAGAACTATAATTTGCAACGAAGCATGCGCTTTAGTTCAAAACTAAATGCCAAAATCATTTGCTCTGGTATCTTAAGCTGGAAAGGGAGAACGCTGAAATCTCCAGATCTCAGCTAAAATAGAAACTATTTAGGAAAGACCAATCTTTTGAGTAACATGCACTGACATTATTTTAATCCTCATCCATGTAGTTTTTTGTAATACTAGTCATCAACCACAGCAAAACAGTACAGAAATTTGTTTCTTCAAAAGGTAATGAAGGCCCTGATTTATCCACCTGCTAAGTAAATGGACATTTCCCACTTAAGAGGTTGGAAACACCACTATTTTTGCCATCAGTGGGAACGGAGGGGATGAAAATCTTACAGAAAGTAAGTGGTAAAATGGCAAGGAATAAATACTAGAGGTCCTTAGATTCTGAATCTCGCTTACTTTCTTTTTATTGTTACAATTTCGTTAAATCTATCAGATCCTACTCATTGGTTGGGACCTCACTCTCATAAGAAGATTAGATCTGATTTTTTAAAGAATAGGAACATGTCAAATGTGATGCAAAGACCTCTGTCACACCAAACACTAGAACATTTAAGCATTCTGATACAATCATCACTGTCATTTAGCTACTGCTTTGCAGTAGAGGATGCTCTGGGAATAAATGCAGTTTTTGGATTTCTAATTCCCCAGGGTTTTAATATTCAAGTACTAAACATGGAAAACCTAAGTAAAGCAAGCACTTGAAATTAGGCATATAAAAGCTCTCGCTTGTTATTTTCACATGTAACACATATTTAGGCATGTTCTGAATCTGGTAAAATCAACCTACAATTCTTTGGTCAGTATAATCCCCACTGCTGTACGCTGTGGCCAGAGTTGACGAGCACTTCTCTGCATACCAGGGAGAAAGGCCTTGCTGAGAAGCACTGCTAATGGAGATGGTGTAGATACTATCAGTGTAACCATCACAGTCACAGTTGTCACCCTGACGACCTCCATTTCCAGAAGCCCATACAAAAATGGAGCCTTTTCCATTTCGGCCCTAGAGGAAATGACAGAAGAGATTACCAGAGGAAGAAGAGGGCCTTCGGTCTCTGCAGTGCATTCTTAACTACTCCTCCCCACAAAAATGACAGTATAAAATCCCAGACATTTGCAGATGGAAGAAGACAATTTTCCACAGGCACTGTGCAACACAGAGCTGGAAGAAATGGGCTGGATGATATATCCTACTTCACACCTTTTAGTTCAGCGAGTCTAGATTTAGCGTTCCAAATACAGCAACTTTCCTCGGAATAAGTTTTAGATTGAAAAAAAAGAAGCTGTGGTCAACAGGTAAGTTTTGCCACATGTCAATGTTTGGTCCTAAGTATTTTTAGGAAAAATCACTATTTTTAAAAGAAATGGCAATTTCCTCAGGAGTTACTTCACCTGCACTTCAGACAATCAGTCTCAGGGTACAACCACTTTCATTCCCTGCTCTGGTCTCCATTGTATAATGAGGTAGAGGCAGCTAATAATTGTTGCTGACAGCTGGCAGTGGACTGATGCAGCAGCATGCAAGACATCACAACTACCCTATATAAATATCAGATACTGTATATTAAACTGTGCTAGTCCTTCAGTGGAAAAAAACCTGTTTCATGTGAAGAGCAACAGTTGTATTTTCATTCAGTGCTAACAGATCACTGCAAACAGCAGTCAGAGATACAGATTTTTATCATGCATCTACAGACAAGATTTGATTTTACTTGGGCAATGGGTAAGAGGCATATGCAGCACTTAAAACATTAAAAATAAGGAAACAGAAAAATAAGCTGTATTTCTTATGATAAGGTAAAATAGGAAGGATAACCCATGCCAACTACAGCAAATGAGATAATATCTTCTTTGGAAAATAAAGGCTGCAGTCCAGTGAAGCTGGCACTTGTGAGCAGCTGCTCTGATTTCACTTGAAGTGCTACAGCGTTTCTCAGATGCTTAAGGCTAAGGCATATGCTTAAGAGCTCTTGTGGGTCAGCAAGAAAAACTGCTGTGGAGCTCCATCACCGACCGACTTAATGGAAGGGGAGAGCACCCAGATCCTTGCAAACAGATGCTTGGAAATTAACGTGTAAGTTTGCTTCCCTTAATAAATAAAACAGTCCATAAAAAAGATCTGTGTTCTTTACCACAAAGATAACCTGCTTTTTCAGCGTGAGATCACGGAACATTGGCTCCCTAATTCTTGCCTGTAATTCTCCTTTCTTTGCTATCAACTTACAGACTTAGATCTCTGTTTATCATCAGCTCATTCCTCTCAGCCTCCATTCTTCCTTCAGTGAATGCCTGTCAGCTGTCAGACTGCTCTTTGTCTTCTTCCCTCCGTCTGCTAATGTTAATTGCCTTTTTCTCCAGAATCCTTTCTTTGCATGCGCCCTTCAAGCTTGCCTCCATTTCTTTGCTTTCTCATCTGTTTGATTCAATTTTCTTCTCTGTATTAGTACCTGGCCATCTTTAGATGCCTTTTCACCTCATTGGCAAGGGCAGTTTATTTATATATTCTCAATAACTCTCCCAGTCTGCCCCCTACTTATTATCCAAACACATCTAAAGAGGATAACATAAAAAAGAACAGTAAAATCAATGTTTTCAATACTCTCAATCATGTATTTTTACTGTCTTCATTTTAATTGGAACATGATATGCACCAACTTATTAACTAGTGCAATTAACACAGTAGATGTCCATCCACACAGTGCTAAAATGCATCACTATTTCACCAAGTAAAATATTCACCAAGCAGAAACTTTCTATTAAATTTTTATAGGCTCTGAGTGCAGAAATCCAATTACTGTTCAGAGCAAAACAAGCAGACAGAGAAGATGGGGGGTAGGGTGAGACAAAGGCAGCAGAAGTAAAGGTGGAAAACAAAAGGTTATCTGTGGAGGATACCTGCCTAAAAAAGCTTAGAAAGCTGTACTGGTGTTTTTTAAAAGTTATGTTCTGGCTGGTAATTTCTCTGACCTGTACAATTAAAATCTCTTTCCCCCTTTTCAATTGCATTTGAGTGACAACAGCACAAATTTTCCTTTTCCTCCCTGATAGGAACCATTTTTACATTCTGTCTCCTTTCTCTTAAGCATCCTACCTGTTTTATCCCATATTCAAAAGCCTTCTGTGCCAGTCTGCCAGGTCCCTCTACAGTTTTACCATCATCATTAGGGCCCCAGCTTGCACTGTAAATATCGACATGTTCGGGATTGAAGCCAATTGAACTGGCTTCAATGGCATCGGTGACTATTCCATCCAGCATACGTATACCTTAACAGGAAAAAAACAAGCAGATTGAATTTATTTTCTGTTATCTCTTCTTCGTGTTACTTAATGGTTTGCAAAGTCTCCAGCACAATTAATACAGAATTATTACACGTCGGCCTACCGCTGTTCATTTAAGTAACACTCAGCACAGTTATAAAGTCCATGTGAAACAGTACACTTACCCTTTATTTGCAGAGCTTGGCACTCTCTATGCATATTAAAAACAAACAAACTTGTAAAATCTTCACTGCACTTATTTACTTCTGTCTCTTTTTTTGCAGAGAGCAAAGAATATATGTTATACACTGTTCCTACTTTTTCTCATTGCATTGAGAGTTCTTTTTTGACTTCTCTTTCCTCCTCTTTGTTAAATTTGTAACAGACTTCTTTGCTCCAATTGCTAATAAGTGACTGAAATTAAACAGGTTTTATCAACAGTTCTTAGACCTTTAAGATTTGTAGGAGTTTTAGTTCAAAAAAGCAGCTTAAAATGTTCTGCCTAAAACCCTTGATCCTCGCAGTCTTTAAACATTTGCTGTCTTTGTGATGTCATTTCACTAGCTCTTCAGTCTTCACCACAAAAGATTCTCACTGCTGATTTCCTACTTCACTCTTTCTACTGTGAGCAATCCAGAGATGCTCATGGTATCTAGCCCTTAACATTTTAATAGCCTCTGCACAAGCTAACCTTCTTCAGAGAAAGCCTGATCTCAGGGATACTTAAAACCCAGTGGCAAACAGCAGCTCATCTGCACTGCATCTTTAGCTCTGCAAATCTCTGGATCTGCACTAGGATTGCTACCATTGTCTGCTGCTGGATAGGGATAGTCTGACATGGCTCTCCAGCACCAGCAACAGCACAGCAGAATCCTGACAGAGTAGTCAGGATTCAGCTTGGGTATTCCAGCAACAAAAATGCCTGTGTTCCCTTGATCTTGGCAAGTTAGTGCTAGACCAGCTGCACCATTTCATCCAGTTGGTGAATCACGAACACCCATTTTCTAGCATAGAAGTTCATGGAGATTTTTCTGAAGCAAAACAGGCAAAATGGGAGTATTCTATACAAAAGAAAAAAAAAGACCCTTTGCAATACATCTTAATCAGTCATGGTTTTTTATACTATAAAGGTGGAGGGAGGAAAAAAGCCTGTAAATATAATTCTTTGCCCAAATGGCTACTCCTTAAGACTCCTAACAACTCTCTCTCCGAGAGAAAGCTGTGTTTTATTCTTTCATATTAATTAGTTCCAAAATGAGACATAAAGGAGTTAACCAGCTCAGCCGCTGCCACTCCACTACTGGTGGTAAAGCTGGAAATAGCATCAAGTTTTGTCTTGTACTTCAGATGCTAAAAAACAACACTTAACCCTGGCTAGGCTTAAATTCAAGCTATTTGCTCATTTTTTGGCTCAGAATCATGAGATTCTCTCATACCGGTGTGCTGTGAGCAAAGATCTGTCTGTGTGGAAATGACTGCAAGCTCTGGGTGCTCAGTTATAAAAAATAATGAGATATTGGGAATGCAGAGACTAGTAGACAGATATTTTTCAAACAAGACAAAGACTACCATGCAGATAAATAACACAATAAGGATGAAAAGAGAAACCTGGCAACATACTGGTGAACACAGTTCAAGAAAAAAAAAGGTTTGATGAAGAGGTTTGATGACTACAGCGATATTTCCCTAAGCAGAGTCCAATTCTTTGCTCCGGCACACTGTTCCCCATTCTTCCACATGCTTATTGCTGTCATCGGTGCCACAAATTCAAAACCAGGCAAAGCCCAACACATTTTCAGACAGATACATGTATCTGCCTGGCAGAAAAGCTATATTTAGCAACACACTACTGTGCTGGAACTCTCAACCCAGTCCTTCCTAAAATGGAGCTTCTTAATCATTTGATTTCCATGGCAGCACCAGAGAAATATCATAGCACGGTGTTATGGTTAGATATGTGTAAATATATATGCTCTGCTTTACTAGGAAGACCATTGAAATGCACACATTTCTGAACTCCATACTAAGTAACAAATAAATATTAACTGAGACTGAACGGTATCACTTTTAAAACTGACATTAAGAAGTATTTTTTTCACGCAGTACACAGAAAACCCCATGGGATGCATGGCCATAAGGCACTGAAGAGACTAAGCAAGCAAAACATTTCAGAAAACTGCCAGACATTAATACGACTAATGAGAACACTCAGGATTATTAGTTATTACTTTTAAGGAAAACAAAAAAATATGAATGGAATGTTTTATCTCTTAAGGCAAAGTTAAACCAAACTTTGAAGGTTATAGATCAGGCTACTCCAAATGTCAGGGTTTCTTTCTCTAAAGCAGCTATTGCTGCCTGTCAGAGAGAAGATACTGGCCACAGATTGCTGGATTTATTCAGTTTGGCAACTGCTACAACCACTTAAGGTAGTCAGCCTGAACTAATGCCAAATAGAACTGCGTAACGCATCCTTTCATGGATTTAAAATATGTCTGGAAAGAAACATAAAGCCTCAATAGCTTTGAACACCAAAAAAAAGCCTTCCAGTGTTTAGCTGGACCAAATTTATCTGAATCCTTTGAAGACTTCCCCAGTCTCTCACTAGTCTTCACTTGCACTTTTGATACATTCCTATCTCTTATCAGGCTGGTCATACATACCCTTGTGTAATTTCTTTCAGCTTCTTCATTCTCTCTCTTGCCCTTCCCTTAAGCAGCCTTCTGGGCTGCTGGATTGCATTTCCTCCCATTAGCTCCCTTTCCTGGACAAATCAGCTGGCACAGATTTGTAGTTTGCATTTGCAGATGAAGACAGGGCACATGCAAATAACTGTGGAAGAACCTTCTCTGTAGATGCAGGCGGCTTAAAATACAGTCACAGTGGGAGTTCACGTATCTTTGCAGCTTCATCCATTTTGCCTTGCTTTGAAAATTTGGTGTCTTTGCCTTATGAGTGAGATATTTTATTTAAACAGAGTATGAGAGTGCGATGCATTATGGCAAAGGAAGACTGCAAAACTGACATCTATGACAGCTCAGTAGAGTCAAGGGGAACCTAGAAACGTGTAAGACTGAAATGGTGGGAACAGCAGTTACGGTTGTCAGTTGCCATTCACTGTCCTTTGTTTAGGAGGAAAAAAGGAAGTAATAGAAAAACTAGGATTTTACAAGTTTCTCTTCCTTGAGCTAAATAAGCACTTGCAACAGATACTTCGAGTGCGTCTATTTCATGAACCTATAATGGATTAAACTTTCATTTACTGCTTTAAAATATCACAATTATTGATTGAGAAGTAAGAAGACTTAACCTATTTTCAAAATTAACTTAATGGTTGTAGCAGAGAAGTAAGCTATTGAAACAAAAGCCACAATAGTATGAATACTTTGACATGACTTTCCAAATACAACTGTGTGTGAAAACCATATGCTGCAAAGCATGGGTAAAAATGTGGATACGGTTGCTTTTACTCACTCGATTTGTTTCCTTCTCCCATGTCACCTCCTTCCAGCAGAAGCAGCTAAAAGAAGTGAGCTTACTGTTCATTAAAAGATAAAATCTCATCTCTGGGCACAATCCATACCCAAGATATAAACTAAATTACAGATAGTATGTTGGCACTTCAGAAATTGCATCATATAGATGTAACACTGTGATCAGAGGATTTTGTAGTTTAATACCGTGAGCGACATTTCCTGAGAAGGACAAATCATCAGTGTATCAGATTAATGGTGACTGAGAACACCTGGCACTTCCCAGAATCTGTCTGGTAGTCATTCACACCAGACATTATTTTTGTTTTCTTACCTCCAACTTTGGAATTGTAGGCTACTCCAACCCCACATTTTTTATTGTTGGCTTGCATGGCAATTTCTCCTGCACACCGTGTCCCATGCCTGAATAAATACAGTAAGAATAAACAACATATGATAAACCACACACTTCTCCCTAATGCACACAAAGACTCCCCAGTGATCCTCCTGATTTATCAGATGTCTTCCTTTACCTGAATGTAATGCAACTATTGATTAACTTTTGAATTATACCAACCCGATGCAAAAATAGTTGTTTCGCTTAGGCCTCAATCAACATAAATGTACCCATTTTATCATCAAGAGGTCATCACAATGAGGTGATAAATACCTAATTCAAACCAGATTGCAGTCCACAGACCCACTGTCAGCACTACTACTACTACTATCAGTACTTTACTAGCACACAAAATTGAAGTAACATTATGAGGCTAAGAAACTGCTAAATTCCTTCACAAAGAAATGTGAAAAGTCACTTTTAATCAGATATTCAGATATTCTTCCTCCTGCATTTACTTTGGATTTCACAGTCTTTGAAATACCTTCACCATTGCGAATTTTTCTTGTGACCAAGTATTTCCTAGGCAATTTTTTCTTGCCATAGGGGATTCTTTCATATAAGTGTAATTGTAAAAGAGTAGTATTATTTAAGACCAAGAATGTTATTCAGTGAAGTGTTTGAATGCTTCTGGGTTGAATTCCATTTGCTTATTTATAAAGATTAGAGATAATACAGCTAGATTTAAGAGATAATCTCACAAGAACCAAAGAATAATGGCCTCCCACTCTTAAATAATGCTATGACAAAATAGAAATGTCATTTCCTAAATGTTCCAGCCATGGCACATTCATCCTTTGACTGACTGCTTTATCTCCACACAATTTCTGATTTATGTTGTGGATGCTATTACATTGTCTAACAGACAATAGTTCCTTACTGCATCTTTACTGAATAGAGGCATCGTAAATGGCTTAGTAAATGGGCTTTTTCTGCACATCAGTTTTTAAAGAGGTCCATTCTCTTCTCTTTCTAATGGACAAAATTGTTCCCTGAACTTCCATGGGTGAGCTTAGGTCCGACAGCTTCATCATGATGTTCCACTGAGATCCAGGGAATGTGTCTAAAGAGAGCATGGGATAAAATTCCTCACTCCTTCCAAGACACATAATTACACTAAGTGAAAGAGCTTTTTGTCCACGCTCAGATCTTCCAAAACTTCCAAAGCTTTCATTGTCTCATTGGACACATTTAGGCCAAATCTGGTCTACAGACCTCTGTGTTTTTCTTCAGAAGGGACAGAAAGATTGTCCAGGAAGTGCACATAACCTCCTTCAGCATCTGAACATACGTCAGTTACAGGAGGAGGTCTGAAGCATGAGTTAACCTGTGCGTGTACCGAGCTGGAAGTTATTTTCTTATCCCAAAAATTGCTGGCAGTACTAGAAATAAAGCAGTTAACTGCAACAGCTGACCTGAAGGGATGACCAGAGCTTCCTCTGAGAAACAGTCTCTTCCAGAGAACTTCAGAGGGGATATGTATTCTTTTAACACTCACAGTACAAGGCGGAGAACTGAAGTCAGTATCTGTTTAGGTAGATATCACTCTACAAACACACATCATGACCTACACAGATTATTCCTTTCAAATATAGAGACTTTTGGAACTTTAAGGGAAGATTAAACATAAAGAATTCTTCATCTAGGGATTTCCTTCATTCCCAATGTTTGTGCAATGTATAAGAGCTTTTCTTTCATGCATATGTGTTGCACTGGGCATGGACAAATTCTGCACTTGAATATCCTAACACAAAGCAATAGTTTATTCTTTTGTTCTCTTTAGACAACTGGGAAGCTACTCACTTGTTTTCATTTGTTGGGTCATATCTAGGAAAAGGATCCTGATCGTTGTCATTGAAATCATAACTTGCCTTTGGATCCTATATTTAAAAAAAGGAATTAATTGTGACAAGTAGAAAGTGGATTTAAAATCTTTTAATGAAAGGAGTTTTACAGTCCTTATTAACTTTGTGTGCCTTGTATTGGCAGCAATCAAAACAGTAAAATTTAATAGGCATTAACAATTCCATAAACTTTTTATGGAGCAAGAAAGATTTTAATAATTCAGCATTAAAACAATGTATGCAAACATGCGTGGGAACTACATTCAGTTAGAAAAAAAAAAGCTCTCTCTCTTAAATAACATTCATCTTTCTGTGACATAGACAAGGTTCCAAACTACACCCAAGACAAATATTTCAGCCTCCATGACATAGGGGCTGCCTGTATATCCAGTTTACAACATTTTAATGCCCAGACTTACATAGTTATCATAGATGTCAGTATGATTCCACTCCAAGCCATCATCTAGTACTGTGATGACAACACCTTTTCCTGTGATCCCTTTTTGCCACACAGGGATAACATGGAGATCTAATTTGGGCAGTGATGGAGTTACTCTTGTATCTTGCTAAGGGACAGAAAAGGATAACAAACAGGTCAATAGTTTTACCATTTATATCACACAGGTCCAAAGTCAAGGTGCTCTAAATCATCCCAGCCTTAACTTACATATTTTGCATATATTTCCCAAAAATTAAACAAAAATGAGCTTGCCCAAACCTTCATAGCACTGAAACAGTTCTCATATTACTTAAAGCTTCCTGAAGACCACCCTGAATAAAAATGATCTTGTACTTAATAGAGATGGGCAACAAAAACACAGGAAATGGTAGGGAAGTGCCTACCTTGAAAAATCTAGTAAAAAATCCTTGAAAAATCTAGTAAATAACTAGATCTACTGATGTTTGTTCATTTCACCTGATGAGATGGTAGGACAGTAACCACTGGGCAACAAGCTGCATTTTCCCCAAATACACTTTCTCCTTTGAAGTCTGAGCTAGCCAGAGCAAAGTAATTAATGGATAAAACAATTAAGGTAGTCACTTGGTTATGAACATCTGTGCTGAATCACAACTTGCTGTTTACTACCTTCCTTATTGTTCCTGTGGAAAATCAATTGGAAGCATGAATCATCTACAGCTCTTTCTTCCAAAGCAAGTTTTTTAAGGAATAGCTCCTAAATGGGTCAGTTTTCTGCTCTAATATGAAGCATGTAGTACATACATCTCAGTTAGAAACTTTGCTCACTGCCCTATAATACATAGTTGTAAATATTAGCATTTTCTTCATTTTTCTCTGTGCATAATTACCTAACTCAATTGCAGGTTTTTCGTTTTGTTTCCAACAGAAGGCTGCACAAGGAATGAGGTTTAGATAATGAAATACGACTTTTCTTTCTTTCTGACTGCTATGGTTCAGGAAATTTTTTAAGGTTTTAAGTTTTGTTCTCTAGAACCCATCAAATAATCACTTTCCTGGTGATGCATGAAACATTTTGAATGGACTAAAAAAACACTGACATCAAAGCAGGCAATAACAGATTTATTATTACAAGGCAAGGGAAATATTTTGGAAGAAAATGTTTAACACATTTATATATTTAATCTGAAATTACAGTTTATAGTAGAAACAAGCATAAGCATCATGCTCTCTGTTTCTTATGTGCGAAAAGAAGTGAAAACCACATAAAGCTGGAAAGATGAGCTGTTTCTCCTAGAGAGTACATTTCTTTCCTCACAAAAAAGCTTTTTTCTTACTCTATGTGTGTTTGTGTATTTGTCCAATAAAATCACCTTGGAAATTCCCTGTTTCCTATTAAGGGAGAAGTAAGGAGAGGAGAGAGCACAAAACCAGTTTTGAAGAAATGTAAATTTTTTTTCAGATTTCTATTTTCTGTGATCAGAGGAAGTTTGCAGGATTCTTCTTGGGAAGAGTTTGTGCTATGCATTTTGCATTGCTTTTTCTTCCAATTCAAAGGAATGAGAGGGCAAAGCTTCATACAGATAGGTTACACTTTGGTAAGCTTTCTCTAAATCAAACTCAAGAAGAAAAAAAAAATCAAGAAGTGGGACCAAATTTGTGTTTGAGTATTTCTTTTGATTTGCTGCCCCTATCCTTAATCCTATACCTATTCTAAGCAGAAATAATGAAGACTAGACTAAAGGCACACGATGCACACTGGAAGAGAGAATCACAAGAAAAAAAAATAAAATAAATAACCACAATTAACTGTATTTCTGATTTGTCACAAACATAGAAACTATAGAGGGCAGAAAATTCCTTTTTATTTGTATTTTGAGCATATGAGCTATAGAGAAACTCTTCACCTTAAATCAGTGTGCAAAGGGAGAAGATGCTTGTCATATGCATAAGAGATTTTGTTTTCTTCTACAAGATGCAATATTCACTACCAAATTTAATAAAGAAATAAATTGTCAACCTCAGAGACGATAAGGGAAAACTTATATGATGGCAAATTTTTGAAATTCTTATAAAGTTGAGTTTTAGCCATTCTACTGTTTTCTAATGTCAAGAATCATGCTAAGCACCAGATGCCTGAATTGGCTGCTAGCATTTTTGCACAAACTACTCTTTGAAAAAGACAGAAGGTTGACTGCAAATATCATGCATGCATCCTCATCCACTCCATTCAATGCAATCGCTTTGACACTGCTAAAAATACAGCTGATAACTGAAATTCATCACCCCCCATTCCATAATGAAAAAAAATCTTACCAGATACCACTGCTGATTCCACATAGGATCATTGAAAAAGTTTTCTGCTGAGTGTCTCAGGGTGGAGCGCTTAGTTCGCTTTTTTTCATACTGCTGTTCTGCCCATGACACCTACAATTGTTTGTATAAACATGACAGGTAAGCAAGCCTCAACAGGTTGAAGATTTTCTTAACCTAGAGGTAAAGGGCTTTTCTTGCACCGCAAAATTTTGATACGTAAAGGAAAAAGTGGTATGTTTGATACCAAGACAGTTATTTACACAGCAGCAGAGAGTACTTAAGGAAAGAGGACCTGGAGAAATCATAATACTATGATATCAATTCATATAAAATAATTTCAAGTTAACTCCTGTGAATGCCACACACTGCAGGCTTTTCTGTTGAGTGTTATCTAAGCCGTCGTGGTTACTCAAACAACCAGAACACTGTTTCTTTTCCCGCTCTGGGAATGTTGGGAGTTTACAGAGAAAGATTCACTCTGCCTTTAGTCTAGCAGTCATAATGACACTGTTACTCATAGTCCAGCTGGACCTTCAAGTCTCCTTCCCAGCAGTGTTTTGAAGTGTGTTCAATTAGACAGCTATGAATATTGGACTAACTTCATCACTTACATAATTCTATTTAAGGCAACTGGAAGCCAAAATGATCCCACGTGTTTTGCTACTGTGTCTATGCACTGAACTGCAGAGCATTTATGCATCAACAGTCATCTCTAAAGTTACTAGTTTGCATTCTGAACATGCTTCCTGTTTGCTCTCCTGAACTGATTACTAAAACTAGTTCAAATCAAATCCAGATTTTGACACCTTTCTTTAGACCGTGTACTGCATCTGTAGATAAGGATAAAATGTTACTCACTGCAGGACTGCTATGCTGACACAGAGCAGCCTGGTGTTTTTCATCCCGATTTTCAGATAGGAAAAGCAAACTCAAGTTCAGTAGCTTGCCATGGTCCTGCAACAAGCCTCCAGTGGAGGATGCCTTTGTATCTAGCTTTTTGCTTTAAAGCCCTGAACAGGTTCCAGTACTTTGCTCTACTGTTATCCAATGGTTTTATGGTTCTTACATCTGTCACCATATGATACAGTAATGAATGTCTCAGAAATTATTTTAACAAAGAAATGCACTGATTTGATCAAAATACATTTTCCTAATGCGAGTCTAGTGGAAATTAGGTACAAGAACAAAAATCCTTAAAAATGGAAGCTATTCTACACAAGTAATTAGAAAGCTCTCAAATCATACTTTGTGACATACTTGGAAGTAGTACAAATGGACAGTCCTACTAGCCTGAGTTACCAACAGAAGATAAATATATCCACACAAGCATAAACATTTTAAACTGCTTTACTGATATCCAAAAGCATACATATACGTGCAGAGGCTGGAGCGGTTCTCTTTCTTTCCTGCTTACAGCAAAGCTTAGCCTCTTCATCCCCTAATGGTAATTAACTTTTGACACCTTCTGTGCTTGTTATTTCTGTGATGTGGTCAACTGCTCTGCGGGAAATGAGCTGAGACCACCAAGCACATATGTCACCCAAATAAGCCAAATGTTTGTCACTCAGCAGCTGGATTGTGTTCAAACTACTCATCTATTACGAAAGGCCTCATGCCAAATCTTCTCCAGCCACTGATATAAGAAGTAGTGAAAATGATTTTGATTCAAGTCTCTTGCAAGAAAGTAGATTTGGGAGCCAGCGCAAATATTGAAAGTTAGGGAACCAGATAATTACATCCTTTCAAAACATTCACAGCCATTATGTATTTTACAGCAAACACTGGGACAGATACAGGAAGCAGATAAATACTTAGACTGGAGCCACATTTTGCCCCAGCCTTCACACTTAGAACTGGCTACATAATTCATGAAGGACCTATACAAACAAAAGCAGGATTGGCTTCTCCTCTTTTCCTTTTTTAAAGGGTTAATTTTAGGCTTTCAAAATAAGCTGTTACTGAACAAGTGCAGCTCTCGGGAGTAAAGGTCCATGTATAACTACATAGCATTACATGATTGCTTTCTGTTTGTATACTTACATAATGACATAATTGCATCTCACTCATTCACATAGCTAATTTGTATGCTAGATGGTAAATAAAAGGGAAATTGGAAAAAAATTAGCAAATCACCTGTAGAACTTTGAAGCCATGTTTTTAGGATCTAAGGAAATAAATTTGCCATAATGATTGGCAGTAAGCTACGTAACACAATCGCATCCATTTTGCTTATGACATTAGAATTCAGGGTACTAAATACAGTTATGTTTTCCTGTTTCCCTGTATAATATATGCATTCCAGGTAATCAGTCCAAAAAGCGGAAGAAACTGTAACCAAAATTCTGTTCCTGAACAACTGTATTATGACTGTATTGAAAATCTGAACATAGGTTTGGGTATTAATTAGGCCGTTTGCATTAGATCTTTTTTATGTCCTTTATATATAATTGCCTACACTAGAACTCTGACTTTGAGCATCCCAGTTTAGAATGCCTTCATCTAACACACTTAGCTGTTAAACCAGGTTTACAATTAGATGGGAATGTGCCGTTTTCAAACAGAATAGGCAAAACAAGGCATTTGCTGTATGTCCCCCTTCCTTTGTTCTTCTGTATAAACATGGAATGGCATTTGCGATCCTAAACTTCAACTCAAATCATTTGTTCTCAAGTGTTCTGTCCTCAAATGACAAAAGGGTATTTTTCACAACTAGACAGCTCAAAGTTTGGGACAGCTAATATCTTGATTGTGGTTGCTGCAATAATGCTAATGTGAGTTCATTATTCTGAAGCTTACCAGAAACTGTGCTTAGGAGGAGCTGACAGCATTCTGCTCCCTTCTTTAAATTTGCGACCCACCTTGCTTGCCCAGCACATTTACCAACAGGCTTGTGTACCTCTTAAACACAGTTTTCTTCACCGGTGAATCTACCTTAAAGCACTTAAGCCTTGACAGGCTGAACTCCTCTACACGGTGCTCATTCTCTGATTTCAATGGGATGCTAGAGTGCCAAAATACTACAAGCTTAAACCTTGTGATGGGTCTCTTTGGAGAACAGGTTTTAGCTTGCCACAGAAGTGAACACAGCAAAATCTCAGTCCTTTTCCTTTCCTTAGTTTTTTGCAAAACTCAGTCACTTCAAATCATACCTAATTTCCTTAGCTATTGCACAGACATGGCCTAATTAAGCTCCCTGTATCTACGGATTTTTACTCTGAGCCCCGTGGTTCCTCATTCATATTTTCATCACTACACACTGACATCCGAGATTCCAAACCTTGCAATGAGGCAAACCTTATATCTTAATTCGGAAAGCACTTGCAAAAAACTATGGCAAATGAGGGTCAGATTCTGCCTCTTAATGACAGAATAATGAAGTATTATTCAACACGAGTATGGATTGCTGAATATATTAGACTTGCAAAATGAGTAAAGCATGCCTGTGACCTCATTAGAAAGCCAGCAACTTGCAGAGAGCATTAAAAAAAGATACAGGACATAAAAAAAATACAGCTGTAACACTTACCCGCTCATCATCAGAAAGTCTTTTAGTGATATGAATGGCACTTCTTCGAGACCGCCTTGGATGGTTTTTATGTCTGAATAGGTAGTGATTTTTGAGTGATCCAATCTATAAAACAGAGTCAGACTTTAAATACTGAGAGGTATTCCCCTACCACACACAAATACCAACCATCACAACCTGTCAGAATTTATTCAATAGATGAAAGAGCAAGACACTAGCCTCTGGATATTTTAATCAGAATTAAAACATTTTTCAATAAGAAGTTCTCACCAAAACCTGACTGCTTTTAGAAGGAACTGGGGCGAAATGACCTCACTTGAGCTACTCTACTCTTCTCGTAGCCACCTGTACCTCTATACCTGACACTACCTATGCATTATATGTTACATATGTTTATGCACTTATGTGCTGAAACAGCCCCATTTCAAAGGCCTCTAGCACGTCCTGAGCTAACACCTGCGGAGCTGGGCACCTGCTGGAGGAGCGGGGCCCCGCCAAGCGCCGTTGGCACCAGACCCTTGCAGG